CATACGGTACTGAGGACAGCTCCATACGGTAGTCAGGACAGCTCCATACGGTACTGAGGGCAGCTCCATACGGTACTGAGGACAGCTCCATATGGTACTGAGGGCAGCTCCATACGGTACTGAGGGCAGCTCCATACGGTACTGAGGGCAGCTCCATACGGTACTGAGGACAGCTCCATACGGTAGTCAGGACAGCTCCATACGGTACTGAGGGCAGCTCCATACGGTACTGAGGACAGCTCCATACGGTACTGAGGGCAGCTCCATACGGTACTGAGGACAGCTCCATACGGTACTGAGGGCAGCTCCATACGGTACTGAGGTCAGCTCCATACGGTACTAGGACAGCTCCATACGGTACTAGGACAGTAGCATTGTGCTGTCCTTGACTCCGTACATTTCCCCCATTTACCACCCCGTCGTGAACCTATAACCACAACAAACGGCCGACCGTACACAGGGAAATATGATTTACCACTTACCTGCTCTTTGTCAGGCGTATGCTTGCCGGGCGGTGTGGTAGACGTTCATTCTCATACGCGCCCCGCGACAAAAGCATCAGCCCCCTCCACGGCCCACCCCTCGCTGCGTCCCCCCGGGTTTTAATAGCTGGCTTGCCCCGTATGCCCCGGGCCGCGCCGAGTTTTATCACCTATAGATCGCGGACGACCCGAACATTTTGTGAGGTCCGAGGGCTCCATAAACTGTTGAGGTAAAAATCAGCCTTTAACCAAGCAGAACAGCAAGAATTTGAAAGAATCCCCACCCCCAACCATAACCGCCCCCCCCCCCCCACCGGTAATAAACGACGCGCCCAGAACTTCTCCATGCGTGGAGGTGAAAAAAAATTCTGGAAATGCTTCCCTCAACTCCCCCCCCAACCCCCGGAGTATATATCTCCTTCACTTTATAAATGACAAATGGAAAGATAATCAAGATGGGCGCAAACGTTTATCAAGAAAATCAAGCCTAGATATTAAAAACTAATGGTAGACAAATGACAGGAGATTACGCCAGGCTTACCCGCGGCCATGTTTAAACTTTTGACTGGGGGGGTGAAAAAATTGAGAATTAATTTATCTCCCCCGTCGCGGTTGGCCAGCTCCGTCACGTGACCGTCCCGCCCCAGCCCGCGTGACTTGCGTGGATTAACAAGTCGCCCGTGTGACACCCTGCTCGCCGCTCGCGACCCAGTTCTCACGTCTGCGTGTCTTGCTGGTCACATGACGTTTCGCGACCAGCCCCCTTCGGGCGTGGGTCAATCTTGATGGTAGCCGCTGACCCGCACCGCTCGGAGCGCGCGCTCTCCTAACGCTCTCCCCGCGACCGGCGGCGTCTCGCCAGCTTACGGCGTTTGTTCCGTAATGGACCCGGAGACAGCGACCGGTCCCGGTCTGCTGACCCCCGGGGTGATGCTGAAGATATCATTGATCACCCCGACCCTCCGTCTACGCTCGGCTATAGGGTGGAGACGTTGGCTAAACGAGGAGGGATTTTGTTTTGTTTCAGGTTCCAAATATTTGTATCGGTGTTTACGAGAGATAGCCTAGTCTAGTAAGGTACACGGAAATTGTTTGGGCGGATTCGTATTGTACACACATACAAAACACATATAGGGCCACTTGAGGTCATAGAAACAAGCGGAGGTGCTAAATGGTGTGGGGTTGTGGTACATGTGTGATGATGATAGAGAAATGAAATGAGGATAGAGAACAATGTTCCCTCTAAGGACTAAGAGTGTGTGTGCAAAAAATATGTTGTGTGCGCGGTGCTAAAAATGACTTGGGCAAGTTAATATGTATGTTTAGGCTTGCAATTAAGCAGAGTAATGAAGGCATGCATTTTGATAAATTAATAGAATAATGTGTAGGACTAGTGAAACTATTGCAATTAAAAGAAGATACGAATCCCATCAAAATTAAATAAAATACGCAATAGAAACTTTCAGAGTTATACTTAGACAACAGGTTATGTGGTCGACTTACTATGTTAGTGTAATGCAATCATGTTAATAATGTTAATACCATAACGGTAATACAAATACGACAGTTTTACATGTTAACCATATTAAAAAGCTGACTTGAAAACAAAATTAGCTAACCTTTCAGGGGCATTCATTGCAATTTCTCGCGTCTAACCTTGCCTTGCTTCCACACCTTATATGCTTTGTTTAAATCCACATCCTCTCCAGCATTTAGATATAATTTAATTCGCATTAGATTTCCCAAATGTGTGGCTTCAAGTCTATTTCGTGCTTGCACTTTAATGCTGTTCATAAGACTAAAACCTCGCTCGCAATCAGCGCTGGATGCTTGAAAAGTACAGCATATGTCAATTAACTTTGCCAGTGAGCTAAATTGTTCATCGTTTAAAGCAACTCCTGCGATTTCGGATAGTGAATTTACTGAACCTGATTTGAGTTTTTCGCTGATCTGAAATTTGAAGTCATTGTATTGCGTGATAATTGACTCTTCATTTGTTGTTTGTAACACATCTTTGTACTTTCCGCACAGTTCTTTAATTTCTTTGACGCCAAACTCAAATGCACAATTTTTTAAACCAGTATGATCAAAAGCTGACCAAAACTGAAGTTCATCTGCTGGAAACCTTACATTTAAATGATCGCATACTGATCGTATAAACTGTATGATTTGTCTTGTGTCGATTCCTACGTTCTCATTCAAAATTTTCTTGGCTTTATCATTCCAATAAACATCTTCACTCAGGTATTGTGCTTCTAATTTGCGTATATTAGAAATGCAAAATTGATGTGCTTCAATAGATGATAAATTACTTCGCTGCAACAACATTGATAGATTAGCTAATTCAGTTAATACATCATTAACGGTATACAGAGCAACTTGATACAGGGGATCTCTTAATGATTTCAAAATATAACAACAAACAGGATCATTGCAGTCTTGGACTTGTTCTTCACAGTAGGCAGCTAAAACATCAAGATTTCTAACCAAAGCACTGACAGCAAAGTGACGTGACAACCAACGAACTTCATGAATTGGTCGAAAAGAAATTACATCCATATCATGCACCTTGGCCAATTCTTCAAGTGCGCCCTTTTTAAAGGAAGATCGACTAAATAAAGTGTAAACTGTGCGTAAGAGAACCTCAATATTTTTAAACAAATTAACATCTTTCCAAGCGTCAGAAAGTGCCAAGTCTTCTCGATGAGCAACACAGTGCTGTTCAACGAGATGGGGGACCTTAGCCTTCAGTAAAGCAGCTAATCCCTTCCTACGGCCTAACATAACCGATGCCCCGTCTGATGTTATCATTACCATGCGGTTCATGTCAAGTTGATGTTCAGTGTAGTAGTGTGTTATGGCTGCCTCCAGAGCTGAGGCATCACATGCAGTAAGCTGAATTATCCCACCAAAAACGGTTTTGTAGAGTAAAGAATTGACTGGACGAAATTTAAAATAAAGGATTAGCATTTTATGTACAGTTATGTCAGTACTTTCATCAACTATAAGCGTGTGAAACTATGCTACTCGAAGTTCTGTCAGTATGTTCTTTACAACCACCTTGTTGATTGCTTCAACAAACTCAAAGGCGTAGTTCTTACTTCGCCAACTGTCTGGTATAGAAGCATACTTCCCCATGTGGTTATGAATCAGTTGTACCGACAGCATCAAGGCGTTCATCCTAATGGCGAGAAGAACATTATCCATTAGGATTCGAACTTGATCCTCGTTTGAACGCTGGCGCTCATTTTGTTCAATTCGTTCTTCTCGCTCATTGTTAGTTTCAACCAGCAGACGTTTAAGACCAGTCACATTTGAGCGGTTGTACACAATCGCAACATTTTCTACGTGAACACGAGACAATAAATGACGTTTACAGTAGTCAAGCTTCCATGATTCCCAACGCTTTCCTGTGACGAATTCGTTGTCTTTGTTGGTTTTGTTACACGCACTAGCAGCACAGAACTTACACTTCAGTACAATCTCATCTGAATATTCATAGATGCTTCCTAATTCAACATTCTTTGAATCGGGCGTATCGGTTATTACTACTTTAACTTTTATACATTTCAGTTTAAACGAATCTCTCGCTTTTTTTTTTGCTGCATTGTTTTACCGCTTGTTACACACATTTTTCTTTTCAACATTTTCAAATAGCACAGAGTAGTAAACTTTTATTCCTTATTTACCAAACCTGTTTGTGAACACTGAAACAGTTCAATCCAGGTGCACGTAATGATCCCAAGAATTGGATATATAAAGTATATAAATCCTTAAACCAAAAAGCAAAAACACCTCCACCTCTAGTAGCGTAGAATTTGCATCTGACTTGGGTAAATCGTCAAAGTATCAAGGAAATGGGTGGGGTTGGGAGATGGGGGAGGGCAGTGGCAATAAAAAAAACCTTGCATGGTCAGCCAGTAGCCGCAATCCCTTTTAGGTATTAGGTGTCAGTGCTGCGGTCAGTTTTGGGGTAAACCATTAAATCAAGCAGAGGGAGTGTCACCCAGACATTAGGTCGGTACCCCGCTCAGGTGAGAGGCAAGTCATAAACTAGACCTGTGCTATGACAACCGAGGTCAGAAACATTAAGTATCAGCTTGGTCCAGGCCAGTCAAACACAAAGACTGTTTGTTTAGCAAAACAGGCACTAAAAATGTCGCTTAATTCAAGCCACTGACCACAATTTGTTTTTAGTGAATCAGACTTGCCCGACGTTCTGATAATCTGTGCGCGGCATCAGAAAATGTCTGCGCGGCATATTTGTAAGTGCTGCGCGGCCGCGCAGCCGCGCAGCTTAGAGGGAACACTGATAGAGAAGTGATGAAATGTAATGATGATACACACGTGTTGAAATGTATTGCACCTCCTTAAATCAATGACATAATCTGTTTCAGTTACACCCCTTACATCTCTTACATTGTCTGATTTAGGTACACCCCTTACGTCTCTTACATTGTTTCAGGTACACCACTAACATCTCTTACATAACCACCACTCTTACATTGTCTGTTGCAGGTACGAGAGAGACAGCCTTCGTGTATGCAGTACTCAGTGCAGGGGTCGTGCACTCGGTGACCCAGGCTTGTTCGGTTGGGAACCTCACAGACTGCTCGTGTGATATGTCCAGGTAACTCAGATGTGGTACTTACCTGTGGTACTTAGCTGTGGTAGTGTGTCCAGGTAACCTTCAGATGTGGTACTTACCTGTGGTATTTACCTGTGGTACTTACCTGTGGTACTTACCTGTGGTACTTACCTGTGGTACTTACCTGTGGTAGTGTGTCCAGGTAACCTTCAGATGTGGTACTTACCTGTGGTATTTACCTGTGGTACTTACCTGTGGTACTTACCTGTGGTACTTACCTGTGGTACTTACCTGTGGTACTGTGTCCAGGTAACCTTCACATGTGGTACTTACCTTTGGTACTTACCTTTGGTAATTACCTTTGGTACTTACCTGTGGTACTTACCTGTGGTACTTACCTGTGGTACTTACCTGTGTCCATGTAACCTTCAGTTGTGGTACTTACCTGTGGTACTTCCCTGTGGTATGTACCTGTGGTACTATGTCCAGGTAAACTTCAGATGTGGTACTTACCTGTGGTACTTACCTGTGTCCATGTAACCTTCAGATGTGGTACTTACCTGTGGTACTTACCTGTGGTACTTACCTGTGTCCATGTAACCTTCAGATGTGGTACTTACCTGTGGTACTTATCTGTGGTAGTGTGCCCTGGTAACTTTCCTTGGTGGTACTTACATGTGGTACTTACCTGTGGTAGTGTGTCCCAGGTAACCTTCAGTTGTGGTCCTTACTTGCGGTACTTACATGTGGTACTTACCTGTGGTAGCGTGTCCAGGTAACTTGCAGTTGTGGTACTTACCTGTTGAACTTACCTGTGGCAGTGTTATTATAAACAATAATTCTTTTAAAGTTTACAAATATGTTACTAAAAATACCACCCATTCAGTGCTGAACTGTTCCTACAAAACCTATAGCAGAATGCCATAAAGCCTGTATTAAGACATGGGTGCTGTCTGTTGCAGGTACGGCGAGGCTGACGTCGAGGGCTGGAAGTGGGGAGGATGTAGCGACAACGTCAACTACGGCCTGTGGTTCAGCAAGACGTTTGTTGACGCCCCAGAGACCGTGGCCTCGCAGAACGGCAAGAACGTCAGGAACCTGATGAACCTGCACAACAACGAAGTGGGTCGAAAGGTGGGTAAACATATGGGGTTATGTCGTGAGTCGACACCGTAACCGTATAGATAGGTGGGTAAACTAACGGGGTTGGTGTCGTGGGTAGACACCGTTTTGATAGGTGGGTAAACTAACGGGGTTGGTGTCGTGGGTAGACACCGTTTTGATAGGTGGGTAAACACACGGAGTTGATGTCGTGAGTCGACACCGTAACCGTATTGATAGGTGGGTAAACACACGGGGTTGATGTCGTGAGTCGACACCGTATGGATAGGTGGGTAAACTAACGGGGTTGATGTCGTAAGTCGACACCGTATAGATAGGTGGGTAAACACACGGGGTTGATGTCGTAGGTCGACACCGTATTGATAGGTGGGTAAACTAACGGGGTTGATGTCGTGAGTCGACAACGTATTGATAGGTGGGTAAACACACGGGATTGATGTCTTGGGTCGACACCGTATTGACAGGTGGGTAAACTAACGGGGTTGATGTCTTGGGTCGACACCGTATTGATAGGTGGGTAAACACACGGGGTTGATGTCTTGGGTCGACACCGTATTGATAGGTGGGTAAACTAATGGGGTTGATGTCTTGGGTCGACACCGTATTGACAGATGGGTAAACTAACGGGGTTGGTGTCTTAGGTCGACACCGTAACCGTATTGATAGGTGGGTAAACTAACGGGGTTGATGTAGTGAGTCGGCACCGTATTGATAGGTGGGTAAACACACGGGGTTGATGTCGTGAGTCGACGCCGTATTTCTAGGTGGGTAAACTAACGGGGTTGATGACTTTGGTCGACACCGTAACCGTATTGATAGGTGGGTAAACTAACGGGGTTGATGTCGTGAGTCGACACCGTATCGAATGATGGGAAACAAAAGTTGGCTGATATTTTGGGTCGACACCGTATTGATAGGTGGGGAAAACTGGAATGAGATGATATTTTGGGTCGACACCTTGATTGTTGAAACAACTTAAAGATAAATAATGTAGTAAATTATATATATATATATATATATATATATATATATATATATATATATATATATATATATATATATATATATATATATATATATATATATATATATATATATATATATATATATATATATATATATATATATATATATATATATATTTATGAAAGTGTTTTTTTTTATTGTGGATTGGGCAGTTTTTTGACATATTGCTTCCACTTCAAACTATTTTAACAAAAACAAAGTTTGGGTTTAATGTTATTCTTGGTTATTTATAATTCTAGCTTTAAAAAAATGTTCATTTCCTTTCCGCCATAGATGAGAATTTTTTCTTGTTTAGTTTAATTTTAGTCTCGATATGTAGATCAAATCTTGCATTATTTTTTAAAAATGAACTTTCCTTGTAGTTTTGGACCAAACAACGCCCCAGTGTAGGGCTTCAACTCCCTACACTCCCATTATGAAAGATTTTCTCCAACTTAGCACCCCACTCCACCCCTCCCCCATCCTCCAATCACCACTTCCTTCACGGCACGCATTTGGTTCAAAACACATTCTATAAGATAAAATACAATTAAAAATAACTTAGCCAAATCATTATAATATCAAAGTAACATTGTTCACTTCCATTTTTTCTTTCTCGTATATACGAAGTATAGAGAAAGTATTGTAATCGTGCAGAAAAAAAAATCGATTTTTACAAATCTCGAAGTTTTACCTCACTGATACGGAAAAACATAATTTTGCAATCTTGTCCGTATGTCTGTGTGTCTCTGTGTGTGTGTGTGTGTGTCTGTGTGTCTGTGTGTAAACACGATTACTTGAGTACCGTTACAGCTAGGATAATGAAATTTCATATATAAGTATTTTATCAAAATCGTAGATCCATATCAACTTTTGAGCGATTTCCAATAACCGGAAGTGGTACTTTTTCTACTTTGAATTTTTCAAAAGCCTATCACTTGAGTACTATTTCAGATAGATAAATGAAATTTCACGTGTAAGTAAAAGATCTAATTCTCTACCTTCTGTCAAATTTTGAGTAATTTCCGTTGACCGGAAGTACTAATTTACGCTATTTCCGATTTCTCAAAAAAAAACGCATGTAAATTAATTATAAAGTACTCATAATATTGCGCACTATTATGCACATTTTATTAGGCATTCACTTGGTGTGCAATTCTTTTTTTACAAGATTCCATTCTGTTATAAAAAGTTTAAGTAATTAAAAATGGATTACAAATATTTTCTATGTCCTGAGTTGCCATCCCTCGTAGTTTTATATTAGAATATTCGAGAAAGTTTAGGGGAGATCACTCCCGGTTTATTTTAAAACTCTTTTCTTTTTTTTTTTTGTATTACTTTGCTAATTTTACAAACCAACTTATATAATAATACGCTTGTGTCAATATTGGGAATTAAAATGCTATTAAAAAAATGCACGCATTTGGTTCATAATAATTCTATAAGATAAAATACAATTAGAACTAACTTAGCCAAATCATTACTATATCAAAGTGACATTGTTCATTTCCATTTTTTTAAAACTCTATTTTCTTTTTCTTGTATCACTTTGCTAATTTTACAACCCAACTTATATAATAATACGCTTGTGTTAATATCGAGCATTAAAAAATTAAAAATATCCTTTATTTAATTAAAGTTACTTCTGTTAATATTATTACAGTAAACTAAACAGTCAAAAGAAACCGAGTTTGCACACTTATTTTAGTCTAGTTCTTATGCTATTTTATTTTCTCCATTTAATTACTATATATACAATTGATGTTCATGTCTTTGAAGCTGTGTAAAACCATAAAAAAATGTTAACATTTATTAAAAACCTCAATTCGTTAGCGGGTTACTTAATGTCCAAATCATATCTGAGAAAATCACCACGCAATGAGCTTTAGATGGTGCGCATTGGTGCACCTCTACACACCGGGCAACGAACGTTAGATGGTACGCTTTGGTGCACCTCTAGACACCGCACAACGAGCGTTAGATGGTGCGCATTGGTGCACCTTTACACACCGCGCAATGAGCGTTAGATGGTGCGCATTGATGCACCTCTACACACCGGGCAACGAGCGATAGATTGTGCACCTCTAGACACCGCACAATGAGCGATAGATGGTGCGCATTGGTGCACCTCTAGACATCGCACAACGAGCGTTAGATGGTGCGCATTGATGCAACTCTAGACACCGCGCATCGAGCGCTAGATGGTGCGCATTGGTGCACCTCTAGACACCGTGTCACGGGTTTGACCTGCAGATAAACGAACGCGTCACGGCGAGACTACGATACCCCGCACACGAGAAACCTATTGGCATTTACAGGCTCACGGCAATACAGACATCACACCTTGGTGGTGAGCAGGGGGGAGGGGCGGGGGTGACCGCTGGGAGTCGAGGGCGCCATTGTCGATGGAAACTTGATACACTTCATCCCCCTGTATTAACCCTAACCCGCGGAGCTGCAGGAATTAACTGAGGTGTCTGCGGCTTACAATGGAAGCCGGCCCGCGCCAACCTGAGGTCTGACATTTGAGCCACGCCAACACCAGTGAGATGCTTTCATCATCAGCTTCTCAACCCACACCGGCAAGCTGAAACCAGAGTTAGAGATGTTCGCCCAATTTATATACAGTGACAGGGAGGGGGGGGGGGGGGATAAAGTAGGCGGGGGGGGGGGGAGGGTCTCATGCTAGTAGAGACGTCTTATTTTTGTTAGCCTGTTTATATGTTGTTTTTCCCCTCTGTTTGACGGTTTTATAGTGGTCAGCTTGTTTGGCTGTTTATTTCTCAATCTGTTTGTATCGTTTTGTGTTAAGGTGTCTATGACTGAGTGACATTCTTAGAGATGTTTTAGCTGTGGTTATACTAAGTCGGGCACTTACAAAACAAGTGATATAACATTCGTGTATCCTGTGTGGTGTGTGGTGTATCGTGTATTCTGTGTGGTGTGTGGTGTAGGGTGTGTCGTCGTGTCTCGTGTTATTGTCGCTGTACAAAAGTGGTGCTACAAAGTGTGATTGAAGTGAGGTTTGGTTTGTCATGTTCACAAATCCAGTTCGCATCGTAATAATAAGGTCAGTTAAAGACTGGCCCTACTTATATATAAAACTGGTAAATTATGTCTAAAACTCAATGGTCAAATACTGGACCACTTATTTTCTATCAGTTTATCAAAGACTGGGCGGCATATTCCAGAAATTCGTTAACTATCTGAACTGAGAGTTTATAGGTTTCTCTACACCACGGGTTCCCAACCTGGGGGTCGCGACCCCCTTGGGGGTCGCGAAGGTCTTTCTGGGGGGGTCGCCAACTGGTATACTAAACCTTAGTAATTTGAAAAAAAACATAAATATTTAGAAGAATTTCTGTACAAAGGTGTTCTCAGTCACGAATCTATGAAATCTTCAAAACTAAAACGTCATTTTGAGATGCGTCATTCGGAACACACCAAAAAAATATGGAGTTCTTTCGTCGGTAAGAAGCTAGTTGCAAACGCCAGAGACTTGAAGTTTTAACCAGCATTAGTGCAAGCATAAAAAAACAATAGGAGAAAATCAAATCTCATCAAACGCTGCATGTACGTAAATGTACATTTATATTGAAATTAAGCTTTCACCATTGTTTGCTTTTCAAGTTGATAAATCAACAGACGTGAGTTCGTGTGCGCAGTTGCTGGTCTGTGTCTATATTCATGCGGATGATAGCAAAGAAGAGTTGCTCTTTTGTAAAGATAGCATGGAGAAAATAAATAACTTTTTTGAAACTGGATGATTAAAATGGGTTAGAACGGCTGTGGGGGTTTGTACGGATGGTGCGCCATCTATGTTTAGCTCAAAATCGGGCTTTCAGAAAGCAGAAAAGATTTAGCTCCCTAACCACTGCCCTAACCAATCGACATCAAGAGTCCATTGCTAGTATAAGTCGTAAATTATATGTAGCTAGGGTGGGCCTAACTACTAGTTACAAATCTGATAACGAACGAGAAGCCGAGACGCAGTGTTGCAGTCTGAC